CGAGTATGCTGCACTGGTGTGTGTTGACCAGGTGTTGGCAGTGTGCACTACCTGAAGTTCCGGTCTGCAAACGCTGAAGTTAATTCTCTGACTTCTTGTTTGCATCTCGCCAAAGCTCACCGTGCCAGGTTTCGAAGGTGTGACCCCTCGTAGCAGTTTTTGAGATTTGCCACTACCGCGTCGTTTTTCCCGTCGTTGAGCAGGCACCAGCTCCTCGATTTTCTCTCGGGCTGCACCATCAAGAAATCCATCAAATGGGAGGCCTTGAGCTTCAAGGATAGCGGAAAAGGGTGCGTGTTCTGGACATTCTCAAACCTTCGCAGCTATACTGGAAAAGGGATAAGGTCTTCACTTGTTGTCCCTGTAACGCAGGGTTTTGGTGTAGGCTGCTCCGGAGTACAAGACGATACGTACAGTCGAGTAGATTTCCTGCTTAATATAGTGTCCCTGCAGACGCGACAACGCTGGGGCGTCAATAATTGCCTTGCGAGTTCCCGAGCTAGTGTTTTCCAGTGTTTTCTTTGCTTATTCTATGTTTTTAGGTGATTCGTTGCTTATAAAGAAGAAAGGGGTAAGTTAGAGAGTATTTCTGTTTCTTGAGAAATTCTATCATCGCATATTCACAGATATCCGCGTGGAAGCATTTCGCGTCAGCTTCTTGTCTATTTTTTTGTCACTTCATGTCTCTTTCTTCTTGTGAAGTACTTCTTTGAACGCTAGTGGGTTTTGACGATTGACCTATTGTCTTTATCACATGAAGTACTTGATTAAAATGCCATTTCTTATGGGTGAAAGCCGAAGTTGCTGCAAGACAAGCCAACTAGCGTTCAAAGAAGCGCCTCATAAGACGAAGGTTTGAAAGAAGAAGTGACAGAAGAAAAGGAAATGACAAAAAAATAGACAAAGCTGACGCGAAATGCTTCCACGCGGATATCTGTGAATATGCGATGATAGAACTTCTCAGAAAACAGAAACTACTCTCTAACTTACCCTTTTCTTCTTTATCAGCAACGAATCACCTAAAAACATAGAATAAGCAAAGAAAACACTGGAAAACACTAGCTCGGGAACTCGCAAGGGAATTATTGACGTCCCAGCGTTGTCGCGTCTGCAGGGACACTATATTAAGCAGGAAATCTCCTCGACTATAAGGAAAACCCTCGATCTTTTGACCAACCGGTGAAAGAGTCGTTATTGGAGCAATGAGGTGTTTACATCTATAAGGCTTATCAAATTGAGTGTCGTTTGCACCGGCATCTCTATCTTCGCGCTGGACTCTGCGTCTCTTCCGCAGGGCTGCTCTCTGAGCACTTTCCCAAGGCGAGCGTGGGAAAAGCGGAGCATCAATCGATTGGAAGTGATTAGGGTGCGTGTATCGCAGAAGAGACGCAGAGCCCAGCGCGAAGACGGAGATGCTGGTGCAAACGACACTCAATTTGATAAGCCCTATAGTTGCTTCGTCGCTGAACTTTCATGCTTCCGATATCGCCTGTGCTGTAACATCGCGCAGTTCCTTAGTTTGCAACCCCTTAACTATCGACCCGTCCGAGAGATTGACCAAAGAAAACGCAACCCTAGTTGCGTATTCGCATAAGTGTGGTTAAATTCGGGGCAGAAGCTTCTGAGTCAGAAGAATGAGCGCGACACGTGTTGACGGACCCACAAGTGAGCGAAGTAAAAGTCTTTAGAACACCAAAAGTAAAATGAATAAGGTGAAGACGCAGCTATCTTATATATGCCAAAATGAAAATATGGGAAATTAGAAAGAAAAAAAGTGATCAAGGAATGCAAGCAAAAAAAATTTATCACATAAGATTTTTGACGAAGCGGGAAGAGGAATGTGGTAGAAGATATAAAGATAACAAAACGCAAACGTTCTCATGTACTTAGCTGCGCGCCTTATTTCCGGAAAGATTTACCAAAACATGCGCGTTATCGCGAAGAAGATCTACCGTAACATACAGTTTCTCGAGCACTTAGAGCAAAACACTAAAGCGCTCGGAACAAAACATCCAGTTGCAAGATACAGTTTTCCATGAACGCAAAGTCAAAACATTCGCAACATTTTTAAAATAGCTCTGTGAGAATAAGGATTGCTGTAGCCCGCTGAAAAGCGGCTGTTTATAGAATGTTAGGAAGAAAGATCGGGCAAGAGTTTAAAAGGAGTGGTGGAGAGTGAGAGAAGTCGCTACTCAGTGAGAAAGTCGAGGAGTGTTCGGTTTGGCGTCGCGAAGCAGGACATAGAGGCTACATAACAGCTCAAGAAAAGCAACAGAAGGAAAGAGGCAGAAATAATTAGTGATTATGTATGGTTTCGGAACAACTAACCCCAGACGGCGTAGAGCAGGCGTAAGGTACTATAGAGTGCGCAAAATTGCTGGTTGCCAGAACCGGACAGACTAAAAAACTGGGACAAGTGAGGGAAAACTTTGAAAAGCAGAAGTGACCTCAAATGTATATTTCGTAACACTATGGCTGCGTTCATACTGATTCCCATGTTCTGGAACTGTTCCCGCACAGTTCTCGCACTGTGCTGAAACTGTGCGGGAACTGTGCGGGAACTGTGCGGGAACTGTGCGGGAACAGTTCCAGAACATGGGAATCAGTATGAACGCAGCCTATCAGAATGCAACAGCGTAGAAAGGAGAGTTAGGAGAAAAAGGAGAGTTTACTCACCTTATCCTTTTGCCTCGCGAATTAAAAGTGATAAAAACGACAATAAGTTGAATACCTATGGAGTGAATAAGAAAGCAAAATTGTAGCGGCTTTGGGCCCATAGCATTCATTATACAGCCCTGAAATAACAAAATTATTAAATATCATAAACACTATTTGAGAATGCTCATTTTAGAATCTTCTTTGCAATTGATACTAACGAAAAAGATCTGATTTTGGGCAACTAACCCAGGCTTACGGTTTTGTTCGGAGCACGCCAAGGTACTGTCCCCCGGATAGTACAGACATTAAATTATTTCATGAATAAAGATTGTATCTAACTAAACCAGAAGAGTTAAGAAAATAAGAAAAAATCACTTAAATGGGCAGGTTTTGATCTTGCAAACTTGTCAAGTATCGCTTACAAAGACCCAATATACTTCACACGGTATTCACATTGTACTTGGAATGCCGTCTATGAAAGCACTTGTTCATAACTCCTTTTCGACGCTAGCAACGGAAACACATCCAAGCTCAGCTTTCAACGTTAGTTACGATGCTGTACCTCATTTGGGACGCCCACTGCAATTTTGAATTTCCATTTGGTGAAAATTTGCGTGCGAATTTGAGTCCCAAATATTAGATTGGTGCAAAAGTAATGCGCGTTTTGCGATACACTTTAACATGCATAACTTTCTAAAAATTCACATCAATGCAGTAAAGGCCATCAGAAGCATCAAAGCTTTCTCAATACAGCGCACATCAATCTATGCTCATTAAACAGGCACAACAATATGGATTAATAACTAAGAAAGTATTTCTCCTGAAAACTCGTTTCTAACTAATCGTAATTCCCTTGAAAATTCGTTAGTATAAATATAAGTGGGCTACTGTCTACTGTTTTTGTACTACTGGCTTACGGCTACTGCCTTGTAGCCGCGAGCCAGTAGTACAAAAAAAGTTGAAAGGGATTCAAATAAAGAAGGAAAAACTAGTTTTCAAGTTGTTCCCCTTTTTCGACATTTTTTTGTAGGCCTGAAATCTCAAAATATGAAATTTTTTACTTTTTGCCTACTAAACAGCTGGACATTTATGCAAATACTGTCAAAAAGAGGTCCACCCTTACGCTTACAGAAATGAGCAAAGCTTTGACGATTGCTCTCCTCAAAGAGAATTTGAGGGCCACAGAATGACTAATATCACTACCCATGTCAAGGTGTCGAAATTTTAGTCTATAAGCTCCTGCAAGACGAAGGCGGTTGGTTCGATGTGCAACGCGGTTGCGACATGGCTGCGTCACAGCAGCGTCACAGCCGCGTCACAGCCACGTCGCGCCTCGAACCAACCGCCTTCGTCTTGCAGGAGCTTATAGATAATTTCTGAGAAGATTAAAAGTGTGCATAATGTAGATAACTTCTATTACATAGAGTAGCCAAATTTTCAAAAGAATGCCTTTAATCGCGCTTGAATTTTGGTCATGAATTTTAATCAAAAAAGTCAATGTAATAAAGTTCTGTGCGGTTGTATAAATCTCTATTAATTTTTAACGAATGAGGCTCGAAAGCTCCTTTTGACTACTATTGGATAGAGCATGAAAGCAACTGTTTGATAGTGTAATGGATCTTCGAAGGAGGAAGTTTTTTGCAGGGAAGTTGTCCTGAAACGAGGGCTAGAAAAACGAACTACTTTTGCACCAACCTAATGTTTATCGTTACCTGGTAAAGTGACTACGAAGACAAATTTGTGTACCCTTATAATTGGGATGCTTTTTTCAAAGAATTTGCTTAGGCGAGCATGATCAAGAGAAGATTTCGCAATGTTTAGAATCCAAGACTATATATTCATTTGATGTTTGTGACTGTACCAGAATCACATCGTAATGGAAACTTTGAATTGCTCTGTCACAGGAAGAGTGTGAAACGACAGGTAAAGGTTATTATTTCTTCGTGTGGAACAAAACACAGTTAAAAGCAAAACAGCGTTTTCCCAAGTCAATTACACCTAAGTCCAACAGTAAATACGGGTATGCAACGAGGGATATAGAAGATATATCAGGTAGTTGCATGAGTTGCTCAATCTTGCTAACTTGGAATCAATTGAAAACAGCAATTTTGAAGGTCAAAAACCCTTGAAAATGCAATTTAGAACAATTTCGTAAATATTTCGGTCCATTTTTCAGCAAAAGCCATCAAACACAGCAGCTGGTAACCACAGACAGGTAGTAAGCCAACGCATTTTATCTGGTACATACTAGTAAGCAAAATAAAGCTTTTATTTCATTTATCAATATGACTGCGATGAAGAAATGGTCGAACAGAATTAGGTGGAGTTCATTTGCAAGATAACTGCTATGTCTGCTGGTGCGTATTACCATCAGAGATGAAATTTCTACTGTTATTAGCTGAATAAAGCATTCTTCTAGGGGAAAGAAGAAGCGCTCTTTCTCCGTCCGGGTCGCCACAACACAAAAACCACGTAAAATTTGGAGAAGGAGTAAACACTGAGCCGAAACCATTGAGGGCTGTATCGCCTGCACCAAAACCTCATGAGGTTTGTGACCCGATCAACAGTGTCTGTGATTCTCAGCTATAAGTGCTTTTTGAAGAACAATGAGAGCCTATGATTAAGGTGACAGCTCCTCCCCCTCCACCAGGAGCTATAAAAGACGAAGTAGAACTTTTGCGTGCAGGAAACGTTAATAAACACGGGAATCGCGTGAAAAGTGGATCTAAGGAACAGACATAATGATAGGTACTGACTGATATAAGAGAGAAATCTGTCAATGTACAAAACATTCCTCATTTGGGTCTTTCTAATAAATCTGCAACATGAGAAACGACTCTACTAGACATCGTTAGCTCTATTACAGCACTGAACGAGTGCATAAGCATGGCCCAGTACAGAAGGTTCTATCTCAGTCGCCAGGCAATACTCTGACAATATAACAGATTCGTATGCGCATTGCACATATAAAAAAGGCATTTGTGCATTTTATTAGGGTGATCCAAAAGTAGTGGGGCAGCTAGAGAATAAATGCAGTTTTCTCAAATAGAAAAGCTAATTGGAAGTCCAGGTTTTGGCAGATGTTAGTACATAACAAAACCTTCTGATCGAGATCTATAGTTGGGCACTGTCACGTGGCGTTATTTTTATAAGCGCTTAAAATTAAAGCTCACCACTTCAAGTAATTTTGATCTTTGAGCAGCAGCGCCGCAGTAAAACAAGTGAGCCTACCAAAGATATGTGCGCAGTAATGGGTGAGAGGACTGTCACCAAATCCACAATAGCTCGGTGGTCCCAAGGCTTTAGAACAGAAGATATAGCATTGGGTATCAGGAGACATATTATTTATTCTTTCATTAAGGTAATCAAATAAGCGCAAACTTAGCAGTTGCTTTCTGATAGTGCGCTTTTTACGCTCTATCCATACATATGCAAATTACTTCAATTCTCATTTTCATTTTCAAAAGATTGTGGTCCAAAACATGAATTTTAGTCTGAAAATCTGCGCCAAACACCGCGTTTTTTGAATAAAATGCCTTTTTTGTATAAAATAATGGGCAATTTTGGATATTCAAGTAATCATTAAAAAGAGCTTGGAAAGCTCTTTCGAATGATATGCCATATGTCAAGGGACTATTAGGTGCAGCAGCCCAAATTCGGATGGCGTTCAAAAAAGTCTGTCTGACTTCTTTGAAGCGCCGCTCGAAGAAATGTCGGTGAGGTGCTGCAAGGTGCTGTCAAGATAACTTACGAAGGTTACTTTATACGGGTGGAGGACTATATGTCGCCGAATGTGGAAGAGTCCCGCGTGGACTTCCTGCAGGAAAGCATGTCCGCGCATGTACAAGGGTCGTATTTTGTCGCAAATGACCACAGGACCGCCCTTTTTCGGCAACATATAGTCTTCTATCCACTTTATACAAAGGCGTTAAAAATGCTGGGCATTCATAGCTAATCAGAAAGAAATCTTGAAGAATGTAAAAAAAATCAAGCTGCATTACTTTTGGATCACCCTAACAGAAGATGTAGGTTGCTGCTTCAGAGACGTCTGGCAAATAGCCAAGTGGTGACTAAAATCCTACGTTATCCCCGAGGTCTTGGACTTTTGATCTACTGAACTCGAAAATTTAATGTTCACTACTAAGTGGACTCGAAGCCCTTGACAAGCTTTCTAGTAAATAATGCGCTAAGATTTTCTGTATCCTCTGATTCAACAGATTTTACGCTGGAGAACGGAGCTGTTCGGGCTTTGCAGTGCGTTCTTTTTAATTACTTTTGCGTCACGAGCATGAGAAAGATGGAGCTTTAATCGCGATCGCGAAGATACAGAGCCAAGCGAGGCGGCCGCGAGGACGTGAGCCCCACCCACCAGCCGCCAATCTTGTTGAATCAGAGGGTTTATGTGTCTGTCTATGTGTTGCACAAATCGTTATTCATCTACGATTTGATTGCTAAATGGAGAGATGTAAGATATAATATTTTTGTTTCTGCGTTAAATTGATATTTCCCACTTGAATTGCCGACCTTACTCGGCGAAGTCTTTAGAATAAATGCTTGTGAATAAGTTATTTGCAATGATCAGCGCGGGTCACGCACAGGGTTAATGCTGTCAGGACATTTTCATAACAGCTCTTGCACGGAAACTCCTCGGCTTAAGCTCAAAGCAGTGTCTCTTAAAAAAGGTGGATCTCGCTGAGGACGATTTGGTCCGTACGAGCCTGGTCGACACGTCCAAACCTGTGGCGAAGGCTACAGTAGAACAGCTCTTTTCATCCAAGCTGTTTGCGCAAGTATCTTGAAAAGTGTGTTTCTGCTTTTTTGTGCGAATTTGAATCCAGAACTGACCAGGGTTGGAAAGCTTTTCAATATGAAAACCTGAAATATGATTTTCTTCAGACAAGGCTCATTAGTAGATGAAAGGAAGGAGTTGTATCAAGGAAAACCAAATAGGGTGACTGGACAGCAGTGTCAACATGCCGTCTGGCGTCAGCATCACTTCTTCTCAAGGATTTTTCTAATGTACAAATTAGAAGAAGATGTAGCTAATAAATTCAGTGAGAGATTTTGCAATAGCAGCGGTGTTTCAATAAAATTGCTTGTTCGCAGTTTTCGTGAATTTGTTCTGTTAAATGATTTAAGACTACTAAAAAACGAACATTCTAGAAAACTAAAATTCAGTAAATTCTCAAAGGAACGTAATTTGGCTCTAATTTCTACATTTCGGATTACAGATTCAATGCTTTACATACCCCGCATCATCCATGGATTAGATGCCTCTATAAGTCGCATTGTAATTTTGAGATATTAGTTCAGCCAACAATCTAATTTCGATAGTTTGAGGGCTGTAAGAATGTTGAAAACAAGTTTATGTCCCTTGAATGACAAAATAATTAGAAGGTAAACCTTGTTTCAGCGTTGTGATTGTGAGAAAATACTCAGAGGATACGTCTGCGAGCGTAGAGTAGGATCGTGCGAGGCGAGAAAGCCTATATTACGTGTGTATCTAATGTGGACAGCACATGGCTGAGCAGGCTGGCGGTCCGTAAGAATTTTTAGAAATGAGATGCGACTGTTTATATTTAAAATTGTGGAATTTGCCTCCAAATTCCAAGCGAATTTTCCGGGAATTTGCTTTTCTTCTTCTAGAGCTTGCTTCCAAACGCAACATATTCATTTTTTTATTCACCCTGCCGCGATAGGATGATGCAACATTATATTTCCAACATTTAATAGAGAATTATCGCTATATATATAGCTCAAAAATTGTGTGTTTGGAGGGTACGTAAGTTATAGAAACGCGCGTCATTCAACCGATTGGGCTTAAAGTTTGCACACAGATTTTTTTGACCCCGAGACGGTTTTGGCTACCTTTGACTGAAATTCGCTTGGTCCTTCTATCGATTTATTGATTTGTTTACGTTTTTCTAAGGAACTGAAGGCGTATCACGTTTAACCAAGCATTTTCCCATAGTCATGTGAAGGAGGGCAGTGAAGCTCATTTTTACCTAAGGATCACAAGGATGCGGTTTCAAAGCGGATGTCCCAGGGTAAGTCATCCATAACATATAAGAGGGGTTGGGCTTGCAGTGCAGGTGGGCAATGCCCCGGACTGGACCGGGAAAGCCAACTAGTTACTTATAATATTACTTATAATAAAGCGCTAAACGTCTATCTTTTTGTCCGTATGTGTTTATGTCTAACTGTCACGAAATTCATAGAGGTTGTAGTCAAGATCATAAACTGAAATTTTAGCCGTGGCACCCTATCAGCATGTAGTTAAACTGTGCGAAAGCACAAGCCGATCCGATAGCTGGAACCTTTGAAATTTGCGCACTAAACGAGTCCACGCGACTTTTGGCCCACCAAAGTGGATCGGTGATTGTATTTATTGCGAAGTTGTAGATTTGCTTAGCAAGTAATTAAGCAGACCATAAACTTGAGCCCAATGAGAACAGGTCTATTTTTGTGCAAAGATAGCACCAAGAAAGAATAATTGCGTAGATCGTCAAGTTGCCACGGTTTCAGCTAACTATTTGTGAAGATTTTTGCTCAGAAATGTGGGTGACTTTAATGACCGCTCCTTGTGCAAATTATGCGACCATGATAATTTCAGTAACTGACCGAAATTCTCTTTTGATTTTCTACATAAGGATTTTCTCTTCCCAAAGTTACCGCTCTTACAAGGAAAGGCTCATAAAGTGAGTAGCTGTTTACAATTCGTTCAAGATGGTGGCATCGCACGGTGAGCTCCAAAACCAACATCATGCGAGCAAGAGGAAGGCATATATTAGGTCGTTTCAAAAGTAATTTCGCTTTTTTCAAACGGGCGCCACATTTGATGGAACAAAGGTTTCCAAGAGGTCTTGGAAGCATTCGATGCAGCATTTCATTCTTTTTCTAATGGTTATGAAGTTGTTGCAAAACAGTCAATGAGCTTTCTGAAAATAACCAAAATCTGTGACCTACGCTTTTTGAGATGGTCAAGTTCCACGATTTTTCAAAACTTTCATATCAATCCTCAAAAGGAGCTCAAGCAACGATTCGATAGAGTAGACCCTACAGAATACAGTACTGCTTTTTTTCTTTCTCATAGCTCGCCGTAATTTTTTAGAAAATTTTTTAACAGAACCATCGGATTTTGGCAGGCTCACCTCAGCCACACTCGCATCAAACATCATGATTTTTCGGAATTTGAGGCTACCAAGATAGTACTATGAGTTGGCATTGATTTTACAAAGCAAGTGAGGGTTTACGGGTTCGAAATATCAAATTTCGATTTTTTTGGGTACAGCCTGGGGCTCGCCAAATAAATGAGTTATGATGATATTATCCCCGAAAACTAAACGAATCGGAAACAAAAAACATCTGTTAGAAAGAGGAGAAAATGCTGCAGCGGATAGTGCGCGAGCTGCTCTTCCATGTTCTACGAGGATTTAGCTACCCAAGTATGGAAATCGGTAGCATCAGTTAAAATTCTGTTAAAAATGTATGACAAGCTATGGAAAGGAGAAAAAAGTAGTACTGTGTTCTATAAGGTTTACCCTATTCAATCGTTACTTGAACTCCTTCTGAGGATTGATATGAAAGTTTTAAAAAATCGTGAAATTTGACCATCTCAAAAAGCGTAGGTCACAGGTTTTGGTTATTTTCTGAAAGCTTATTGATTGTGTTGCAACAATTTCATAGCCGTTAGAAAGAGAATGAAATGCTGCATCGAATGCTTCCAAGATCTCTTAGAAACCTTTGTTCCATCAAATGTGGCGCCCGTTTGAAGAAAGCGAAATTACTTTTGAAACGACCTAAT